CTGGAGTTCATCTGCCACTAGGTGACTTCTGGGCTCCATTGTAGGAGTTATATCATAGAGGTAAAGACATTTCTCTGGAGTTCATCTGCCACTAGGTGACTTCTGGGCTCCATTGTAGGAGTTATATCATAGAGGTAAAGACATTTCCCTGGAGTTCATCTGCCACTAGGTGACTTCTGGGCTCCATTGTAGGAGTTATATCATAGAGGTAAAGACATTTCCCTGGAGTTCATCTACCAGGTTTGGTTCTGCTAGCTTGTGAGAGGGTGTATAAACACACTTTCAAAAATTGCGCCTCCGAGATCACGTGATAGGGGCAGAAACACAAAATATATCCCAATCATGCCAGGATAACCTTTTGGGGGCGTTGTTTCCCGCTTGGTAGGGAATTATTCTTTATAGATAAGGAAACCCCCCTTGACCATCCGGAGTCCTCCTGTCAAGTTTGGCTCTAGAACTGTTAGAGAAGTTCGCAATCAAACATGTAACGTACATTCGTACAGGATAAGAAGAGCAGGCTTAACCGACAGGTGTCGGGGCGGATGCAGTGAAACATTGAGACCGAATTGTTGAAATAAATTATTTCTAAAAGTTGGTCGATTCTTTGAGTTGTGTTATTAAATGTTGCCCGTCACTCCTGAAGGACAACGCGGGTTTTATTTGCACTCTCTGGCTATAGGTAACGTGCCACGTGGTGGCAGTTTGGTGGTAATAACGAGAATTATAGTAACTTTAAACGACGTTAATAATTCATCATCTTAAGTTTACCGATAATGGCCCACGTACTTACGGAGTCACAATCAACCACCAAACAGTTTAAATCTGGTGGTGAATATTTTTGCAAGAAACCACAGTTTTATGGTCACTTAGCGTGGCGCGGATCGTGTTAGCGCGTGGCACGCAACATAACGTTTAGTGTTAGTGCGTTACTAAACTAACGATGTTCGAGTCTTGATGTTTACACTGCGATATTTCTCTACTTGTGAACAAACCGCACGATCTTAATAATTCAGGTTTGTGTATATGTGTGTAGCTGATAAAAACAAGAGGCCACACTTTAAACAACGATACTGTTTGTCAGGGAGGGGCAGTTGACGAGTTAGGTGGACCACACGTAGTCAAGATATCTCGGTAATTATCCAACCTGAGTTAGGGATTGGTTCGCGCTAACTTTTGGCTGACTTCACGAGGTCTACTCGCGACAGATCCTCAGTTGGACGTTGACTCCCACCGCTTCCGGCACATGTTACTTTCACGGCCCGTCTACCGTATGCCTTACCTTCGTCGTCCCACTCCCCCAACCCGAGAGGGGGCGATGTTTCCCCGTCCTGACTGTGTCTGGGAATCACGCCGACAGTGTACCTGTAGGATGCCGTCCTCAGGTGGATACTGGGCTCCGTTTCGGGACCGTTTTCGTCGGCATTATGGTAGGTTCAGAGAGTAACTAGTATTGATGTGTACCAAAACTGTTTGAGCGCCACCTAGTGAATAAGTTCCGCGTATTTTTGTGTGTTTGTATCTATTAGTGACAACGATAGATAGCGCTGCCAACGAACAAACAGTGAGAATTATTTTGTGTAACAAATCACCAAATTTTCCATGCTGTTGATATTACACTGTCTAAGACAACCTATAGGTTTATTTTATACAGACGCGTCTAAAACTTCAATATTTGTTCCATAAAGCATTTAAAAACTAAAGCTTCTTTTTTTCACATCGTAAGATGTTTTATTTGATCTCAAAAATCCTTTATTTCAGTAAACTGTTAGAATATTTTCTCTCGGCTTTGGTAAAAGTTCTACACATATCATTATGACGTTTCTTATGACGTTCGATCTGATAGGTAGATGCTGCTCTAACAGTTGCTCAAGTACCTCCACTTGACTCTACATTTAAAAATAAAAAAACCTAGAGTTAGAGCTTCATTCTTCAAGGGGTGGACTGGAGATGAACAAGGAGAGTAAAATATTTGTTGTTTAACATATGAAGTTCCTACCTCCTTTTTTTTACCGATACTAATCCATTGTTTTTTGTGTTTAATAATTCTTGTTATTATTCCTTCAAACAAGCGGTTATTCGTACGTTACATTTACTGATACTGTTCCATGAAAAACCTGTTTACTTACGTTTCACGTTCACAAATACTGTTCCATGAAAAACCTGTTTACTTACGTTTCACGTTCACAAATACTGTTCTATGAAATGCGTGTTTACTTACGCTTCACGTTCACAAATACTCTTCCATGAAATGCGTGTTTACTTACGCTTCACGTTCACAAATACTGTTCTATGAAATGCGTGTTTACTTACGCTTCACGTTCACAGATACTGTTCCATGAAATGCGTGTTTACTTACGCTTCACGTTCACAGATACTGTTCCATGAAATGCGTGTTTACTTACGCTTCACGTTCACAGATACTGTTCCATGAAATGCGTGTTTACTTACGCTTCACGTTCACAGATACTGTTCCATGAAATGCGTGTTTACTTACGCTTCACGTTCACAATTACTGTTCCATGAAATGCGTGTTTACTTACGCTTCACGTTCACAGATACTGTTCCATGAAATGCGTGTTTACTTACGCTTCACGTTCACAATTACTGTTCCATGAAATGCGTGTTTACTTACACTTCACATTCACAGATACTGTTCCATGAAATGCGTGTTTACTTACGCTTCACGTTCACAGATACTGTTCCATGAAATGCGTGTTTACTTACGCTTCACGTTCACAGATGATGTTCCATGAAATGCGTGTTTACTTACGCTTCACTTTCACAAAAATCTATTCATCATCTGTTTTCAAAGATATTGAAATTCTTACTCTTATTAACTGCTTACTGCTTACTTCGAGTAATATTGATGTGATATGGTTTTAATGGTCATACTGAATGTTGTGATATTGTTTTCTAACATATAACAAATCATATGATATGGTTTTAACAGTCATAATGAATGTTGTGATATTGTTTTATGACTTATAACAAATCATGTGATATGGTTTTAACAGTCATAATGAATGTTGTGATATTGTTTTATGACTTATAACAAATCATGTGATATGGTTTTAACAGTCATAATGAATGTTGTGATATTGTTTTTTGACTTATAACAAATGATGTAATATGGTTTTAACAGTCATAATGAATGTTGTGATATTGTTTTTTGACTTATAACAAATGATGTAATATGGTTTTAACAGTCATACTGAATGTTGTGACATTTTTTGATTTATAATAACAGTCAAACTGATCGAGAACAAGTCTGAATTTTTTCACATGTTTGATATCATATTAAGAGTTTTGAAAGAGGGTAAGAAAAATAATTGTTTTTAGAACATTAATAATATCATATTCTGTATTATAAGCATTGCTAGGTCATGTATTGTTTTGTATGAACAGCCCGAGTTAACAATTTTCTGTTGCAATATACGAATTCAATTCTTTTTAAACATGTTGGTTTTAATGCCGCTCTATCCAGCCTGTTGTAGGAACGTTTTCTATAAGAAATTTGATAAGTAAGGCTACTTGACAAATAGCAAAATCATCAGAGTTTTCAAACCACTAACTAAATATTCATTGTGAAAGAAATTCAAAGTATTTTCACCAGGTGACGAACCATTATGATCTCTTGCAAGAATTTCAAAATCAATTTTCAACAATGATAATTTTTTGCTTGTGTGACTGACTATTTAGTATCTAGATATCTTTAACCTTGTTACTCATCAACTCAAAGGGCATTTTTAGGAGCATGTCTCTCCTGCTACCTTTAATATCAGTATGGAGAGTATAATATCCCTCCTGCTACCTTTAATATCAGTATGGAGAGTATAATATCCCTCCTGCTACCTTTAATATCAGTATGGATTGTAGAATATCCCTCCTGCTACCTTTAATATCAGTATGGATTGTAGAATATCCCTCCTGCTACCTTTAATATCAGTATGGATAGTAGAATATCCCTCCTGCTACCTTTAATATCAGTATGGATAGTAGAATATCCATTCTGCTACCTTTAATATCAATATGGAGAGTAGAATATCCCTCCTGCTACCTTTAATATCAGTATGGATAGTAGAATATCCCTCCTGCTGTCCGTATTATCAATGTGAAGAGTAGCACTTCCATCCTGCTGCCCGTATTATCAATGTGAAGAATAGCATTTCCCTCCTGCTGTCTATATTATCAATGAGAATAGTAGCATCTCCCTCCTGCTGCCTGTATTATCAATGTGAAGAGTAGCATTTCCCTCCTGCTGTCTATATTATCAATGAGAATAGTAGCACTTCCATCCTGCTGCCCGTATTATCAATGTGAAGAGTAGCATTTTCCTTCTATTGTCCGTATTATCAATGTAAAGAGTAGCATTTCCCTGCTGCTGTCCGTATTATCAGTGTGAAGAGTAGCATTTCCCTGCTGCTGTCCGTATTATCAATGTGAAGAGTAGCATTTCCCTGCTGCTGTCCGTATTATCAATGTGAAGAGTAGCATTTCCCTGCTGCTGTCCGTATTATCAATGTGAAGAGTA